TGTCTGTAGCATTCCCTCAATTTTATTACACTTAATCACATGATACACACTATTTACCACTATATAGTACAAAAATTCTACGAACGAAAGTGTGCAAATTCATTTACATACCTAATTGCTAACTACGAATTATGCGAATTTGCATTATCCCTAAGCACTGTCTGCGTGGCTCACCACTTTCAGAATGAATTAACCATCGTTATTATAATTCATGATTTTCTGTCCCAAGTACTAAGTACTGCAGTGCTATGCATTCCGTATGATCATTTATCCTTCTCAACTACGATAATAACCTTTAAACTTGGTATATGAAAGTATGTAATGCATAAATAATCAAGCATGTGTAGTAGAAATTTAGTATGTAACTTATAGTTCGTAAAAAAATTTTTTATCTATAAACTATACCAACCATAACCGAAAAAGGACAATATTAGCACTCACCCTAACCCTAACTATCAAAAAGGGATCACTTATAAAAGATAAATTTTATAAGTTTTGCTAACTATACATGCTTTTGTAGATTTTCTTTACAAAAAATAGAATATATTACTTACATATAAGATGAACTTTCTCAAAACTTATACCACCTGTGGTTAAGAATCACTGTAATCGCTGTATCAAGTGTATCTCAGATAAACTGTTTCTTTAAATAAAATGGTTAGCTCTCACTAAATATATTGCTGCCTAGACAGACTTTTTGAGAAAGCAATGCTATTTATGGTTGTTGCCTATAAGAAATTATCACAAAATTTCAAACCAGCATCTTACACAACGTCGATTTACTAGAGTACAAGATTAAATATTTTTCACCAATTCAGACATAACACCACTAAATATTTTTGAAACCATGAGAAAGATTAGTAACTTTTGTATTCATAATAAACGATAGTTAACTTTTTATTCTGGCTGCACTGGCATTAATAAATTTATCAAGAAATAGATATATTCAGCTGATATTAAAAAATTTGAATAGCCCAAAACATTACATTCGTCACGAGAAATGAGAATCATCAATTCATTATTAATTCACATACAAGCAAAAACTTTACGAATCTAAGCAAAAGTTAAATTACTCAATATTATCCATTTCAGCACCTGACTCAGAACCACTTGAGCCAACCCATTCATTCTTATTTTCCTCTATAAGATCATGATTATGCAATTCTTTTTTATGGCCACACCCACTGCAAAGTTCATATATAATCCCAGAATCGTAGCTTTTATTTTCATGCTTGGAATGCCATCAACAATTATGACCTTTACCACCACATTCGCCACACGTATTAGTTTCAGGGCCACGTGGTCGTTTTTCTTGAGCTTTTGACGATGGATTTTCAAGCGATGACTGATAACGTGCTATTTTTGGTGGTCGCCCTTTTCTAGCTTTCTTGACAGGATTAGAAACTTGAGATTTCTCAGGGATGATATTTACTTCAGGACGTTCTTTAAGAACGTTTGTTTTGTAACCAGAGGAGGATGCCTCAGTTGTATTTTCAACAAGAGAACGTTCATTTTGAAGAATATAACCCTTTAAAAACTTAAGAACGTGTGGATCATCCTTTTCAATTGCGATATTTATTGCTTTTCGTGCAATTCCAATAGTTTCAGCATAAACTTTTTTTTTTTGCATTGCCTTTTTAGCAATGACAGACGTCGAAAGACGAGTCATAGTTGACATTGCATTTTGTGCAGAAAATAAGTTGGCAAATTCATTTGACCGTAATATAGTAGTTAGAATTAATGACTTAGATGGTTCAGATAAAAAAACTGTAGACAGATTAACAAGAGGCTGTATACCAAGATCATTATCTTGATATTTTTCAAGCAACCAACGCTTTGCTACAAAATTAATAGAAAATTTTGCGGCAGAAGAGTACGCCATAACCTGGAAAAAATGCCTGCATGGATATCCACGATTGACTAATAATATACAACTGCATATATAAAAACTATCTTTAAGCAAAAATATGTAAAGCCGAGAATATTGCCAGGTCATATGTATTATTTCCCAAACTTCAACTACTTTGTCTTCGACTTCTTTGAAGAGCGCAAAAGAGTGAGCCAATGGATAATCAAACGCATTGTCGACGAATGCTTCATCATTATCTTGCACCTATAATAATGAATAAAAATACAATTAGATCTAATGTATTGTTTTGATAACAATTGCTTTAAC